CTGTGTCCTTACAGTACTACCTCCGCGCAGCAGCAGCAGAATCAGCTAAGGATTTTAGACATATAAACTGTCACATCATAAGTTCTGTGAGTGGGTCCAGCGATCGATGGTTCCTAAGAGGAACTGCACTTATTACCAAGGAATAACCAGGAATTGTCACCTAGGAAAAATCAGGATTCGGGGCATACATAAGAAGGCTAGCATAGTCCTCAGTGTTGGGGAGTGGCTACAGCAACAAGGACTTAACTCCTATGAACTAAGTAGTTTGAACTTTACGTTTGCCACCGAATTCCACCCTGATATGGAACTCAAGCTTTCCAACTAATTTTGGTCTTCCCCTTTGCTTCCTGAGTGTGACCTCTTTCTAAGAATGAAATATGGAGGCTTCATTTGTCAGGGTCAAATGACAATAGCACTAGGGAAGTCTCAGGGAACAGCTAGCAGAGCCTGATACACAGCGAGATTGACTTTCAGCTCAACATGCCTGTTAAGTCCTGAGACATGGCCCTTCACTCTCCCGAAAGGAAGAAAAAGCAGATGCAGCCTCACAAAGCAGAACGGGCCTCTCCAGCCTATCCAGGTAGGTGGCCGACACATGTTGGATTTGAGTCACTTCATTGACTTAACTTCAGAATGGCCTGATGCTTGGAGGCATCTAGCTCTACAATTGCTGTAGATCTCCAGTCCCTTGTGGTCAGTCGTCCTTATTCAGGCACTCCCCAGCTTTGGACTGGAGAGGTGGCTCAGTGGTTAAGAGCACTGGCTGTTTCTGCAGAGGACCAGAGTTCACGTCCCAGCACCCACATGGCAGCAAAGAACCATCCTGGGGCTCCAGTCCTGGGGGATCCAACACCCTCTTCTGGCCTCTCTCATCATTGCAGAGCACAATGCCCTACATATACATGTAAGCATAACACTCGTACACATAAAAATATAATTAATTAAAACAAAACCTCCAGATTTGTGACCCCAGCTTACCCCAAGGAAGAATCCAGAAAAGTGTCATGCTTGCAGGTAGAAAAGGCCCACGTGACAGTGTCACATGAGACTTGAACACAGAAGTGAGCAATTAGCGGAGGGTGCTACATGTGGGATGGTGTGTTGGTGTCAAGGGCACAGTACCATGGACCTCAGACGCAGTGGGTGCTACAATGTCAAGAGCCTGACATTACAGACTCACCACTGGGGTGATGGCAGCTGCCGTGACAGCAGCCACATCATTAGTTTTGTGAAATGACATGTAACTTGAGAGAACTTTTCTTTCTCAAGTCTGATACAAATTCTATCAGCCACTCAGTCTTTTTCATAAATTCCTTTCTGATTTCTCAGTTCAAATTATTTTCTGTGACTGTCAATTAAAAATGACTAATATAAAAATGGTTGTGAGGCTTTTGACAATCAGTAGACCCTCAAGGAAATGAGAGCTACCTAGAACTGGTTACCTGTTCTGGCTGTGGTAGATGGCTCTGGCTCTTCTAGAGTTCTGGGGGTGGGACCCTGGCAGCTGAGGGCACACCTACGCTGAACTGGGATGTAACACTCCCTGCAAACAAGCTTTTGGGCACCTGGCAGCTGCTCCCACAGGCTTACATGAAGGTCATGAGGCATCAAAGGCTTTAGGGTGAGCCACTTCCATCTCTAGACACTCAAGTGACTCTGGCTCCACATTCATCACATGAAGGTCCTTTTGAAGCCAGGCTTTTCTTCCCCCCTCCACCCTCAGTTCACTCAGCCCCATTCCCACCTCTGCACTCTGGAACCCGAAAAGACCACAGGGCATTGCGGACTGGATTACTCTCAGATAATCCAATCTGAGGGGAGTTCCCTTCCCTTCTGTCTCTTCTCCTCCCTGCCCTCCACTTTCACCAATTTACAGCCACCAAGAAAAATGATAAGACATTTATTGAGTCATCTACAGCAATTTGACATCCTTACAATCTCAGACAAGGTGTGAGCACAGCATTAATGGTGGCAGCAGTAGCAGTGAGGTCTGTGTGACTTTGTTACCGTGAGCAAGGAAACCCAGTCTTTTCCAGCCCTCATGAGGGGGCCTGGAGCCAAGTCTGGGGTGCTAAGGGCTGTAACACTCCAGCCCCTAGAGGCACAAAGCCTCAAAGACAGACAACGGGCAAGACACACACTCGCGACTACATACAGACAAGCCATGGGACCTGGAGTTCAGGGGAAAGCAAAAGAATTGGGCATTCGGCTCACATGAGTGTCCCACACCCTTGAAGTGCTCCCAGGTCAATGGCACAGAAATGTTCACAGCATCCATGTGGAATTCTCCACACCCTCGCCTTAAGGGCAAGCTAAGGAAGATAAAGCTGCAACTCGATGTCCACCAGAGCCCTCTGGTCTCCCCCTCACCCCCAGTGCTGGTGGTTTTACAAATGGGGCAAAGGTTAACCCAGGAGGGCTCAAAGCAACAGACAGACAGCAAGGAATCCCTTTCAGCCATCTTCACACCAGGAATGAGCACACAATTGTGTTTCTGGTTTGTAAACCTACAGAGGGCATCTCATTTACACCTCATCCCTAGTTAGGAGCAGATGGTGCAGCCATCACCAGCCCATTGCAGATTAGGGGCTGAGGATAGCACAGAGCCCCAGAGCAGGTGGCAAGGCCCAGGTTCTTAAGGTACCATCATACTGCACCAACCCCATTGCTTCTCCTGTATTGTAGTCTGGAGTCCCAAACAACTTTCTGCAGGTAGAACCTCTCCTGTCCTGTACAAGGTGCCACGTTTATCACAAGGCTGCTTAGCATGACACATCTTGCTCACATGCAAGACCAAGTGTATATAGCAGGGCCACTTCCTCATTCAGGCACATGCTTGATGTTTCCTCATCAGCCCATGGGGGAGGTTTGCCCTGCAGACTTCCAAGTTTCCCCCTGCTCCAATATTCTATTTGTCTCCCCAAAGATATATAGAGAATGAGTCAAGGTCAAACAGCAGGTTGGTAGCAAAGCTGGGAGAGAAGCCCAAATCCAGTGCTGCTTGCTCTGGCCTCTTCCAGGTGGCTTCCAGGCTTTCTAGGCTCAAGTAGTACAACACCACTCACTTCTTTCTCTTTGAAGGGAGCAAACCATATTCAAAGAACTAAAGAGAGTCTTTTCCAGCTCCCAGCTTTCCCTCCTCAAAACAGAGAGAGGGGCAAATATAAAAGTAGAGATGACAGGTGCAGGGATATTTCCATCCCCAAAGGACTCAGGTGAGGAAATACTGGTCACCACTGAGGAGCCCTGGGCATGTCCAGGAGGGCCACAGTGCTGCTCACCAATAGAGAATGTGAAACAGTGGATCCTGAGGTTCCCAGTGCTAGGGATCATGGGAAAGCTGCTATACCCCTAAATCCCTCTGACTCCTCAGCAGTTTACGCATTTCAGGCATGGAATCCCATTTCTCTCAGGACCAGATATCCTCACCTGACACTACCTGCCTACCTTGTGACTGGGCAGTCATGACAGAAGACATCCCCAGAAGGAGACTGTGAATGAGGTTTGGCCTCTAAGGTTACACAGAACAAGATCTAGCATCTCGAGAACAATCCCCCTTAGCTCTGCTCTGCTCCTACCTGAAGGTTCTCAAGCTCCTTGGGCTCTTTTCACCTTCCAGACAGAATTTCTTATCCTTTTTCCTTTCCTGGATCCAAGCAATTAAGGAAAACCTTCTCCGAGGCTCATTCCAAGGAGAATATGCTTAGAGTCCAGCCACAATCCCAGGGATGCATTGGGCTATGCACAAATCAGTAAATCACTGCTCACTCTACAGATCTAAGAGGTTGAAAGGGAAAGGTTTTGCCCAGCCTTGTGCCGCCCACTCATTGCCTGTCACCCAAGAACAAGAACTTCCTGGGGACACAGAATCCTTCAGATGTATCTGCACACAAGACTAGCAAAAACAAATCAACAGGAACCTGGAAGCTCTAGACGAACACAGGCCCAGGGCTCAGGAAGCAGCACAGTGTGTGCAAGGGGGTGTGGGGGGGTGTTCAAGGTTGATCTTATTTTTGCTGTTTTGCAGCGATGTATTTATAAAGTCACAGTTTCCTCTTCCATAGTGATGCAGACCTGCTGGTGAGGGGCTAACAAGTAAATGGGATTCGTACTGGGGGGGGGGGTCTGCATCTTGGATCCCAGTGCCACAGACAACCTGTCTCAGCTAAGTATAGAAGACTGGGTCTGCACATCACTCCCAAGGCTCTGTTCAAATGTCCATGCCCTCAGCTTTCCTTTGCTCTACCAGCTTACACTGCAGTGTTCAAATGAGAACAGAATTTTATCCCCTCACCTACATACATACATACATACATACATACACACACACACACACACACACACACACACACACACACCCTTAGATGATGTACACAGGATACATACCCATTTACCTGCCTTTGTTTTGAACTGAAAGGTCACTCAGGCACAGAGCCTGAAGACGCATTAGAAGTTGCCTCCCTTCACAAAGGAGTATGCGGAGGCCCAACACAGACAGCATTGTTTCCACAGTCATAACAGTCTGAGCTCATCTGGAGCAGACTCTAGGCCTATCAATCCAGAGCCATGGCTCCTTCCAAGAGGCTCAGGTTCCAAGCAGTATCCAACGTGCAAGGTGATCAGCAGATACGTGCTTGGCTGATAATCTGGCTCCCAGGACAGCAGGAAGGGATTATACGGTCAAGTGCGAGATAACAGGGCCAAAGCACACTGATGGCCAGTCCAAGTAACTAAACATGCCTAGGAAATGGCATGCAGGTCCTTCCTCCTTCTGACATTGCCAAAGACCCAGGGTTCAAAGACCCAGGGTTCGTCTGTAAATTAATCAACTAGAATCTCTCCAGTCATTCTAAAGGCCCTTCCAGCAACACTGTCCTAAATCTCCTAGTCTTGCAACTTTATACAACCAAGTTATGCAACAGCTCTTCCACCCAAACTCCCCATGTGTTCCAGAACATGATCATGAAGCAAGTCCACAGACAAAGGAACAAAACCAAGAGTCAACATGGGATGCGCTGGGCCGCGTGGACCCATGGCAGTGTATTTTCCTCTATTTTCCTGAACCTCTTTTGGCCTTATTTAAATTTTTAGGCTATGGTTGTGCAAATTGAAGCTGGACAGCCAAGATGGACACCTCCACTCCTGCTGTCAACAGCTTTTGCTCATGCGTGTGGTGGCCACAGCAGACCACCCCCCCCACCAAGACACCTACAGTGATTCACAGTCAAGGGCACTGGGGGAAATCTTGCAGATGTCTGAGTTCAGTAGTTGAGTCCAGGCTGGAAGCTGGCATCTGGGGCTCCTCATCAGGGGAAGTGGGGTGTGGGGAGCCCGGGGCTCAGGGCTTGGCTCATGGAGATGCAAGTTGATTCAGAACTCACTGACATCACAGAAAGGCGGCGGTTCATCCAATACATGGCTTTGATTTATGAGGAAACGGAGGGGAGGAGCTAAGGACCCTCTGTGGTGGATATAGTTGGGAAACAGCTTCTCCACAACTGGTTGCAGACAAAAAGGTAAGGAAAAAAAAATCCACTACATGATGCTGACTTGAGTCAGGGCATAGTCGTGAAGATGGTAAGGGCTTCCTTCAAGCAGCTCTTAAACTCTTCTATCTTCTTCCCAATTCATCTATTTCTGGCTCTCAGCTCTTCTTGGATCACATGAAAAGCACCAGAACTTTCCCTGACCCTCCCCCCACCCCCACAATTGAAGTCTGACTGGAAGAGCACTAGAGCCCTCCCACCATCCTGGTACCCAGAAGACAAGCACCTGGACACCTAGAATCCAGGAAAGCAAGAGGAACCTCAGGCTGGCCTGCTCTGGAGGATGTTCTGGCCACTGAGATGGATCCCTGGCTGGCTACAGGACTGGGCCCAGGCTGAGAAGGGCCCAAGTCCAACATCAGACAGTGAAGGGCTGTGAGGTGGACCCCACCGCCTGCAGAGTCTCCAAAGAGGGCATGTTCAGCCTCAGCTCACAAGGCCTTGTGCCTGGGGTTAGGCCATCACTGAGGCTAGCCTTGACATAGTAGGTGGGGCTAGAGCCTGGCAGAAGTGAGCAGAGACATGGGTGAAGGGGAAAAGATGGGGAAACTTTCCAAATTTGAGGTGTATTTACATGTCAAATTGGGCTCAGGAAACCACAGTGGACGGGACCCAAACAGGAGGGGCAATATCAGCCTACGCCCTATCTCCCTCTTCCCCCTTGGGGAGGAGCCCAGTTTCCCACCCAGGGCCTGCCCAAGGAGAGGGGAGAGGCACAAACATGCGCAGGCACCTGCCCACAGCCCCAGCCTGTGCAGGAAAGAAAGGGGTACAGGGCTCAGGTGGCTAGGTTGTCAGCCGGCAGGCTAGACATGCGGAGCTGGGAACTGCTCTTGCTCAGAATGGAGAGCTGGGTGCCCCCATTCACACCGCTGCTGGCCAGGGATGGGTGCCGGTGCTTGAAGTCCATGGTGAAGTAACGGTTCACCTTCCAGCTCCGCCATTTCCGCTTGATCTCTGCCTGTACCTGCAACGATCAATGTGCTTGTGACTTCTAGGATGGGCAGGGGTTTTCTCAGCTGCCATCACCACTCTCCATCCACTGCTCCCCAACCTTGTCCTACTCCATCTGGGCAAGACCCTCTGGTGGCTTCCTGCTGCTTTGGCCTCTCAGAGACCAGCCCTTTGCTGCCAAGGCATCTTTCCCATCAGCCTCTTGAAGCACACAGATCAGAATCCCCACCCTTGCTGACCATTGTGAGATCGTACATAAGATTCACTCAGGTAGCTTTAAACATTTCAGATGCCCAAACCCTATGAACAATGATCTCAGTGTCTCTGGATGAGACCCAGACACCCACAGCTCGAGAGCTTCCCAGGTGATTTCAACGTATAGCCTGGGCTGAGAGCCACAAAACAGTCCACCCCATGGAGCTTTAGCATGGTAAGTAGGGGCCACGCCAAGAAAGTCTTGGCCTCCATATGCCACTGTAGCCAAATGCTTCCTGCAGTACACAAGCTTCAGGACTAGAAACAGCACCCACACCCACCCTCCACTTCTGGCTCCCACTCCCTCAGCCGACTCGTGACATATTCCTGCCTCTTGTTTCTTCCAGCCTCTTCAAGAAAAGTCCTGTCTGCCTGTCCTAATCCTATCCTTGCTGTAGGTCCTGCTGATCATAGAGGTACAAGAGAAGGAAACTGTTGGCATCAGGGCCCTGCCACTAAGACCTGAGCCTCAATGCAAAGACCTCTCCCCAATTGCAAACCCAACCTATTCAGCTGACCCTGCCCACTGCCCTGACACCTATGTCCTAGGCTCTGCTCCAGAGTAGCACCCCAGCAGGCTAGAGGGAGCCTCAAACAAGAGCTCTGGAAAGGTGGCTCCATGGAAGGTACCAGATCTTTCTCTGGGGTCTCTTCCAAATTCTCATAGAGTCTATACTAGCAAGGACAGGCAGGCTGGCCTGCTACAAGCCACCACAGCCTGTTGACCCATAAGCACCAACCTCTGCTCAATCAAGCACGACTTGTGGAGAGAGTGCTCCCCTGGAACTTTGTGCTTAACAAAGCCGATGCCTTCACCAGCTAGATTCTGCTCGGCAGGTTGGGCCTTAGCTAAAAAGAAGTGATTCTGGCACAAGCTGGGGCTATCAGGAGATGCTGAGGCCACACAACACTAGCAGCTGTGCCACCTGCCTCCCATCCTCAACTCTGGGAACCTGGCAGAGGAATCTGTTCCCAGTCTCCCCAACAAGCCCCACCTATACAGCTGAGAATCTGGAAAGCCTGGGTCTTACCTCCCCATTCAGGAAGCAGTAGAGCACAGCTACCACGAAGCCCTAGGAAGAGAGCAAAAACAACACTGAGTCTGCCAGCAGGGGACCAAGTAAGAGGTTCTGGGCATGTGGGAGAGGTGGCAGCGGAGGTGACACCAGAAACCAGGACAATGTCACCATCTAGACAGGGAACATGTGCCCAAGGATCTAAGATGGAACACGTTCTCTCACCAAGATGAGTATTTCCATGTGGCTGGTGGACCAGTTCAGAGACCCTCATCTGGGATTTCACATACCCTTGGTCAAATCCTTCCTATTGTCAAAGGCTAGCTCCACCCCATTTCCTACAGGAAGCCTTCTTCTTTCTATGAGAAGCTACTCTCCTACTAGTCTACAGGCTCCTGAGGGCAGGACTCCAGGACAGAACAGACCCCATGTTGTCTTTATCCATCACCCTCTCCCTACTCTGCTCTCCCTCAGGAGGCTGCTTCTGTACGCAGCAAAGCCAACAGCTCATACCTGGCAACGTATGGATTTAGCTATTCTACCCCAAACAAAGCACCAACGTTTCCTGAATGCTGAAAATCAGATCCTTGCAATCCCTACTGCCCTGGGCTGTCATTTGAAAAACATCAGGGAATGCTGTCCGGAATATGCCAGCAAACACAAAGATGCAAGCCCTGGGCTCCAAGACCTGACTCAACATTGTCTGTAACAGTCCCAGCCTCACCAGAGTAAGGATGAGAATCTGGTAAAAGGGCTTTGAATTAAAATTCAAGTCATTTGCATACGCTAATTTTCTGACCACCAAACTCAAAAGCTAATTTAAACAGGTGACTTAGAAAGAGACCCTCTACCCAGGGACCCCCAAGGTACTTATCCCTCCCTTTGTGAACCCACCACAACTACGCCGTTCACTCACTTCCTCACTGTACACTCTTTCTTAACAGCCCACCTACTTGCTCCTGCCTGTGCATTCACTACTCAGTCCTCCTCTCAGCCCCTCAATCCATTCACTTAAGGATCTATTCATGCATGCACCCTCCACCCATTCAGTTGTCTGTGGATAGGCCTTATGTTCAGGGCCCCTGTGCTAGGGACCCAATTTGGATAAGGCAAAACTCCAGGCCCCATGGGGTTCATGGTCTGGCAGGCTGAAGTCAGAATATGGACATAGCATTAAGGCCTCAGAATCATTCCATCTCCCAGGCTAGTGGAGAGCTTTCATCTCAGCTCAGAGGGATCTGGCTCAGGATCCCCGACACAGTGACAGCCAGACTTCAGTGTATCTTCTTACCACTGCAGTCAGGGCTGTCCGTGCACATCTGCTCTAGGGCTCGTTTCAGAGACAAACACTGAGGCTGCAAGCCAGGGTTCCCAGGGTTCCAGAGCTAGAGGCAGGCAGGTCAGAGGCCAGGGACTGGCTTCCAAGGAACGGTGCCCTCCACATGGACCCTGCCTACCTGAAAGGAGCCCAGCCCAAGCTCAAACACGAGTCTTTCCCTCTTGCTGACATTCTCTGGAGAGAAGGCGAATACCGTGTAGTGGATTCCAAACAATGGGATGAGCAGCAGGGTGGAACGGGCCAGTCGTCTGTCGAGAGAAAGTGAGGAACTGGAACTGCAAGGCTTGGGAGCAGAGGCATAGAGGGCAGAGGGCCTAGCACCAGCCCTGGCTCTCTCTCAATGCCCCTGTCCACACACCTGCCCAGCATTCTTTACTGGTGCATGAGGCCTGGGAGAAGCAGAGCCAACCAAAGCCTGAGCTTCCAAAGTTCCCTGAGCTATCATAAGGGGGCTTCCCCAGCTCCAGGGCACCTAGTCAGTGTCCTGCAAAGCCACTGAAAATGTACACTCAATTTACAGTAGGCCCCTGAGTGACGTGCAAAACTCCTGGGGGAAAATGAATTCAGAAAAACCCAGGATGGGATTCAGGAGTTTTGAACCAAAGCAAACCTGTCCTGTCTTGGAAAGAAGTTGCATGTGCTCAAAAGTAGCTGCCCCAAGGGCCACAGAGACAGGACTTTTCTGAGTCTAGGACTAGCTGAGGACATTCCTGAGAGCTGTGATGATGACAAGAGAAAGGGTACTAGGTGGACCACAGCGGGACTGAGAGGGCTTCAAGGAAGAACTCACTGACTGAGCAGAAATGGCCTGCACAGGAGAAAACTGCTGCCCAGGAAACTGAAGCAAAGGACAAGATCCTGGTGGGGTCAGCAAGACCTACCAGACCTCCCAAGGCCAGCTCTCCTGGGGTTTCCCTTCCTGCTGCTGGATCTCAGGCCAAGAGCGGGATAGGTCTCCTGTCTAAGGGTTCAGGGACAGAGGAGGCCCATAGCGAGGACACCAGGAGATGTGTGCTACTCTAGAAGGAGTGAGCTCTCATAGGGACTTCCCGAATGGATCCCCAACTCCACCCATCCCAAGATACTGGCTCCCTGTGGGCTTCCCCAAACAGGCCAGCCCTACTTTGCAGATATTTGCCCCTCAGCTGCACCCAACCCCACTGAGGCCGTTAACTTCATTTCATCCTGGCACAGCTTAGCCCTCAGAAGTGGACAGTGGTTATAAGGGTGACCATCTGACTGGTAGAAATTCTACCATGTGCCCTTCATCTCCGCCTCCCAGACTTTTTGAGAAAGAACATCTTATTGGATGTTGGACTCCAGATTTCTAGAAAAGCTAAATCTCTAGAGTCTGTATGAGGTGTTCTGGCTTCTATGACACAGAAAGCAAGAGGAAAGGCGGAGGGGATGAAGAGGAGCCTCACAGGAGGACGTTCAGCCAAGATGGGGGAGGCCCTCAAGTGTGGGACTCACTGTTCCCTCCCCGCTCACTGGCAGCACATTCTGTAGTCCTTAAGGGTCTTGGACCAGAGCAAGGCCAATGGGATCTGAATGAGTCACTGCGGTGAGTCCACATGGACACCCAGAAGTCTGTCTGTCTCTGATGGTGGCCCTGAAGGCAGGGGAGCCTCTCTTTTATCTGTTAAGTCTCATGGTAAGTACATTCAGGCACAGAGTCAACATCAGAAAAGCCTGGTCTACAAGCTAGAGTCCTTAAAACCCAGCATCTCCTGGGCACCAGGTTTTGCTTGCCTCTGGGTGCCCAGGGCCTGGCACCAGAAAGAAGCAGAGGGTGCCTGGAAATAGAACAAGTTGGAAGAGCAGAGAGGATTTGCCAGAGAAGCACATGCATAGCAGGGCTAGAGGGTTCAGCTGGGTCCTGGAACAGGCTGGGACCCTGCCTTCACCCCAGCCTCACCTCCATAATGGACCCTTTCCAGGTTCTTGTTCCCACAAAGTGAAAACAAACCTGAAAATCAAGATGCCAAGGCTCTCCAGTGTCCACAGTAGCATTGATGGGTTGGCTCTGGGCTGAGAAACTGGCCTTTCAAGCATGATTGTCAAGCCCTTCCCAGGCACAGGAAAGATGTGGGTCTGAGCTGAGACTTTTCTGTGATGTAGCCCAAGAGCAGTATTTGCTCTCTCCTGCAGCCCTGCAGCAGCCCTGGCATAGGACACCTCAGGATCCCTTAGCATACAGGGCAGTGCTGACAGATGAGGACACTTCTGGAGCCCAGGGTGTGAGGCCTATGTGTTTCTGAGGTGACCATCTGGGAATGGGTACGCAGGCAGTGAGCTTTGCACTGTGATCTGATCAACCCAGATAGACAGTGACATAGCTTCTGCCTCTGTCCTCCTATCTCAAGGAGCCATCAACAGGAAGAAGAGTCCTAGAAAACCAAAAGCTTCCAGTGAGCAGAGCCACGCAAATAATAGAGGGCTGTCAGGAAGACCATGGTCCCCACTCTGTGGACATCATAGGCAGCCTAAGGTGTGATGCTTTGAACACCCTAATTCTAATCCTTGCCCTGCCAATTACGTGACCTCAAGTGAGTTACTTCACCTTTCTGTGCTCCAGTTCACTCATCTATAAAATGGGGACAGAAGATGCCCCCTCAGAACGTCCTTGTGGACACTGAGCTACTGCCAAGTTGCACACAAAGTGCTCTGTATTTAGTGAACTCCAGCCAGCTCTGAGCTCTTACGAACAGTTTTGCAGCTCCAATGACTAAAGCCCAGAGAAGCTGTCACACTTCTGGCAACAGCTTCTGACTGCTGATCATGGAGCTGCTTCCCTAGGCAGGCAGCAGTAACGCCAAGCCTGCAGTGCCACAGCTCCATCCCGTGCCCCCCAGACCCGCCCACAAGACTGCAGAGACCTCACAAAACACACACATCGACATGCAACAGCCCATGGGAGGCGGGGTGTCTCTCCACACTCCTCCAGCCTGTCAGCACACAAGCCCAAGGCAGTGGCAGCAGTGGCAAGCATGCATCCCCCGCCCCCTCCAGGGCACCCGGCCACAGCCACGGCCACACACACTTACAGAGTAATGGTGGACAGTTCTGACATCTTGCAAGACTGCTGCTGAGCCCGCTGTGGCTTGCAGTAGCATTTCTGCACGCAGCTGCTGGGTGTGACAAGATCAGCATTTCTGTCAGCTGGGGACATTGGGCAATGAAGAAACTGAAGTGGACTTGGGAAGACTCAGTTCACAGGGAACAGGGAGGGCAGAGAGTGAAGGGACTGGAACAGGGTAAGGGCAGTCACCCAGAGGAGAATGGTAAAGTCAAGAACAGCCACAGTCAGCCCTGGGCAAAGAAATGCATGTCCATATATGTATGTGCATGGTTACACACACACACACACACACACACACACACACACACACACTGGGCTGACAGGTAGGTGAGTGGAAGTAGAGAGTGTGTTCAGGAGGTGGGGCCAAGACTGGGACTCAGAGAGGGGGCCAGAGTCTATCTCTGGTGTCAGTCCCAGGCTTGGAGCACAGCTTTAGCGAGATCACCAGTAAAATGAAAAGCTGTAAACACACTGTGGACCTCATGCATGGCTGGGCATAGGCAGAAAGAGTTCTGGTCTTGGTATCAGAGATTACCTTGGGGGTCCTCTAGCTACCTCTTACCTCTCTCAATATCAGTACACACAGTGAAGTAGAGGCAAATCAGGTTGAACGGGCTGTTCACTAGTCTAGCTTGTGCTACTCACTAGGATAGCCACTACCTCTAGGTAGCTATTGAATAATTAAAATAAAATCAAATGGAAAATTAACTTCACAGCATCAGGGCTCAACAACCATGTGTGGCCAGTGGTGACCATGCTGGATACAAAGACACTAGGCATGTAAAGAACTTCACAGGGCAGCATTAGGCTAGAATGCTGTCAAAGTTCACAGGCAAGGGCTGAACAGCAAGGGCACTGACTGTGGCCTTATGGATAAAGAAACAAGCCGCCTTATGGAGGAAGCACTGAGGCCAACCCGGCTTCACAGTCTTTGAGGGGAGGGCTGCCGTGAGCCACGGAGGTCTCCTCCTACCTCGCTGATTCTCTCTGGTCCTTCTCATGCCTGAGCTGTCACAAGCCAGGGATGCTAGTTTCCCTTCCAGAAATTGAGAACTACATCATTTTAGATGACAAGTTATCCACTCATGGAGGGCTCTGAGGCTCCTCATACTGGCTCATGAATGCATAAATCAGGCATACGCTGGATGCCAAGCAGGAGAGGTACTAGCCATTCACAGACTTGCTTTCTACAACTTCAGCTCTCTGAGAATGACTCTGAAGGCACATGGAGTGTGGGGACATGTCACTCTCTTGAGGCAAGAACTTGTATAATTCCAAGATGAAGGAAGTCCCAGCCTGCCCAGCATCTGCTTCTCACTAGGCTTGTGGTACTCATTTAGTAAATGGCATCTTTTGATTCATACTACATATGAGGTGGGTGCTATAGACCCATTTTGCAGATGTTTGATGCTTTGTTACCCAAGTGGCCCTGTATCTAGAAGCAGCATTGCTACCTGACAGCTTCTCAGAACAGACTACTGCCATCCTGGCTTGCAGACTCACAGTGGCAAATCAACTGCAGTCCCGGGAAGGTACTCAGGAAGTCCTACTGCATGGTATTCATGGTTCTGAGATGTTTCTCTTGGGACCTCAGTAAATAACAAAGGACTGTGCTCTCTATCTCTCTCTTTCTCCTTCTCTCTCTCTCTTTCTCCCCTCTGTGTATTCATACATGTGCACAGTCATATGTGTGCATATATGTGTGTATATATATATATACACACACACATACACACAGAGAGATACACAAATATGGATGTTTTCTCATTTATTAAAAGCACGTAGCTGCCCACACAGGACTAGCACCTATTTCCTTCACACTAGCTATATCCCTTTCCCAAATGGCTGACTAGTGTCTGTACAGCTAGCAACCCTTCAATTCTGGCTTACAAATAGACAGCAGAGACCAGAGCTAGTCTGAGATGCCCCAAATCAGCATCTCTGTGGTCGCCACGCACCTGCCACCACCCTGAATTCTGAGCCTCAGCCTTTCTCCCGAGTCTTCTCTTTCTTTGGCTCCAGAGATGCCCCATGTCTCTCTCTTTCCTGGAGCCAAGATATACAGTAAGCACAAGCTCCTGAATTTTTTACAGATCTCTTGAAAGTATTCTAAAGATGACCATTAGGCAACAAGTTTGGTGGTATGGGTGAGTCTGATGGGGGAGAGGAGTCAAATCAAGGAGCAGCAAAGGGGAGAGTTCTCAGGAGAGACTATCCAAACTCCAAACTCTGCCCTTCCTCTCCTCCCCTGGCCTGCAGTGACTGTACCAAAGGACTCACTGCAAAGCAACAGAACAAGCAGAGCAGACAAGCAGTGGCAGGAGAGCCAATTCAGGAGCGTGAGAAAGGCGGGACGTGGAGTTCCCAGGACAACTAGGCAAGAAGAGAGATGGGGCTTCATTCAGAAATGCACCTAAGCCACACTAGAGGGCAGCCCTGAGCTGGCTCCAATGGAGCACAGAAATTCAGAGGGTGCTAGGTGCCCCCCCCTCCCTAAATCAGAAGGCGGAGACCTCTGGCAGCCAGTGGCTGGCACAGGGTTCCCTCAGCAAGTTCAGGCCTGGTTCTGCCATGCCTTCTTTGTGTCTGCAGGAAAGTCAGGATCTGGTACGAGGGTTCTATAGCAGCCTTTGTTGGCGGGGGCAGCGGGGGTGCTAGCTGGGCTGCATACCCAGAAAACATTGTAGGACACTAAACAGAGACACCTACCCATGGCCTTTGCAGGCAGAACTGTCATCTTCTTCACCTAGGGATCCATGTGACACTGCACCTTTAGCAGTTCACAGAGCATGGTGGTCCCCTGATGTTAAGTTCCCATGCACCTGCAGAATACTGTCCACTCCCCAGGAAGCATCCCCCAGTACACTGGCACCCATGGTTCACCACTGCCTCTTCCTCTAACCAGGGACTGGGATGAGCCATGCCCTGAGCTCCCTGAAGAGTCAGCACAGGGCTCAAGGCTGTTTGGCTACTGACTTGCTGGGTAGTTTTCCTTTCCCAGACCTCTTGGGGTAACATCTTTCCTGTGCCATCCCTGATGTGACTCTGAGGATGGATGCTCCTGGACAGGGAGGGGGCTGTAGAGCGCAGAGCCTGGAAGTGCCTAGCTGAGGGCAAAATCCCTGACAGCATCCTGACTGCATGGCTGCCCTGCTATGCAGAGCCTATCCTGGGAGTGAGTGGAGAAAACTCAAAGCAGACTGTACATGCCTGGCCTCAGGCCTAAGAGACAGCTTCTAATGCCCACCTCCAGGAGCAGGGCCAGTGGTGGTCACTCCATGGTTGGACTGAGCCCCTCCCTGCTCAATCTGCGTTGTCAGGAAACCTCGTCCCCTGCCCCACCCCATCCCCTCTGTGGAGTCAGGACCCTGCTCCCAAACATTCAGGCCATGACAGGCTAACGCCGCTGGGCCCAGGACTGAATGAATGCTCATTCAGCCCTAACATGAGTCCTGCTCATCTTGACCCAGGCAGGCTCCCCTGCCCCCTGCTGGGCCCCACACTCAGCAGGTCCTTCAGGTTGACCCAGGAGCACCTTAGTCGAGAGTGGACAAACCCTTAGCATCTGAGTAGCTGGAACCAACCTACAGGAAAGGGACTGAATGCTGGTCTGAGGGCACAGGCAGGGGGTCCTCTCGGGCTTTCTTGGGGACTCTCAGGCTTAAATTTGTTCTGGAAACAGAGGAAAAAATCAGAAAGCTCTTGTGGACAGACCAGAAGGGGCTTGGCAGCCCAATACACATGCCCCAGGCACAGCCCTGGGATCTCCCACCAAGCCCTGCCCATCCCAAGGTCTCCCCTCCTCCCCAGTGCAGGAACCTCCCCTTAAAGCCAACTCTCCTAAGCCCTGGGGATACAGCACTTTGATGGCGGAGGGGGACTCGGAGCCCACTAGGGCTCTTCATCCAGGAAGTCTCTTGTTTTATACACTGGCTTAACCCCATCATTCAGAGTCTGTGGATTCCCTGAGACCAGAAATGGTGGTTATAACCCAGCTGTGTGCACAGGTCCTGCACTGTGCTAAGCCCCACTCCTCCCTGCACTGTGCTACAGGCCGGCTCCTCCCTGCTGGGTTCATGGCACTTCAGGGAAGCACTAGTGCCCTCACACTAAAAGGGGCTTCTGCTTAAGGATGGCTTACCAATCCTACCAGCTGTGCTGGGTGTTTGAGAGCACCGGCCCTGTATAAGTGTTTTTACTTGCCCTGCAACCCTCAGCAGCATAGTCACTAGGATCACCACTCACAGGCGTCAATGAGGTCTCCTTGACCCTGGAGATACTCAGACACAAGGCTGAATTCAATGGGGTCATGCTGATCCCTTGGGCAGCCTCTGCCCTCCCCTGGCATACAGCCCACATCCACTGAAGTTTTAATCTCTCAAGCTAAGAAGCATAGGTTTGGTTTTCTCAGCAAAATAGGACCAGCCAAGCTTGTAAAGAGGTATTTCTACACTAAAGAAGTAAACCAACTAGCTGTTTCTTCCAAGTCCTGGATGAACACCTGAATGTATGAAGCACTAGTTAATTACAAGTGATTCTTCTTTCCCATTAGGTCAGGGGAACTGTTACAGCACAGAACAGGACATCTGGGCTGGTAAATGTGTCATCAGGGGTCCCGGGGCTCTGTGTGTCCCTGCACAGGCAGAAGGACACTGGAAGGACTCCCCCACCCCATCTGAAAGAAGTCAGCTAAGAGCCTTAGAACAGATCCCACCAGGAAAGGAAGGAAATGGACAGAGGCTGTCAGAGCTCAGAATGATACTTCCCACCAACTCCAGGGGAGCCAATCCACAGTCAAGCAAGGGAAACTGAGGCCAAAAGCTTAGACTTCCTGCATCAGACAGGGAAGTGGAGGGTAGAGAGCAGTGAGCTGTTCTGTGACTCCCTGAGACAAGGACAGCAGGGCATGTGGCAGCAGAAGGACAGCCCTACCACAAAGTCATGACTGATGCCCATGCACAGTTTCCTACCACATCACAGACATGGACAAGTAAGGCTGGGATTTAAAACAAAAACAAAAACAAAAACAAAACAAAACAAAACAAAAAACACTGGCGAAAACAGGAAAAGGAAGGACAGTAAAATTACCAGAAAAATGAATGCCTTTCTCAGTGTTATGTGCTCAATACAGAGGCAGAGAAAATACAGTAAACAGTCTAGGCATTGTGCTAACCATCTACAAGGGGGAAAGGATGGTACACTGTCTGAACAGACGGATGGGCCAAAAGCAAGCTCCACTCCCCCACCCCAGGACACCCCAAAGGAACCTTTGAGGAGGATCTGGATTCAGTCTATTGGCAGCCCTCCTCCTCCCCATCTCCCTCTGCTGGGCTCTCTCAGCTGTCCCCTCATTTTCCCTAGGCAACCATCGAGGTTGTGACCCGAAGTCTGGGGTCCACAATGAAGATTCTCAATAATGCTATGAGAGTTCCATGCTCCCCTTCACCTGCCCTTGGCTTCCACTGTGTCCCTCCAGCCAAGCTCACAGGGCCACCAACCTTTCTCTACAGCATCAGAAATGTCTCCACACCCCATCACCCCCACCTGGTCTTGCTCCCATTCCCGAGGCTCTCACAGGGAACTGTCGGGCATATGCTTTCAGAGCAGTGACTACAAACATACTTCTTAGAAACCTAGTGGCTATGAGAGTAGAGAGAGCCTTTCACTGAGTGGTAACCACAAGCAAAGCAGATGCTTCTCTGCTGGGAAGAAGGGAGCTGAGGAGGCTGAGCAGACAGGGAAGCAGGTAGGGCTGTCCTGAGGGAAAGTGGAAGAGAGAGAGAATCCTCACCCATGTGTGGCCCAAGAGAAGATCCCTCTGCTCAGTGACAGGCACTGAGCAGCTTCTGCAGGTTGGACTGGGCGTGGCCTACCACACCATGCCTCCAATCTGCTCAACTTCCCACAGACCTAGCATCCCCAAAGGAAAGTTGACCACTGAACAACCGAGACCCTGCCTACCCTAGGGACCCTGGCATTCTCCACTTTGATGTTCCTGCCTCTGCAGACTCTGCCGGTCTCTTTCTCTTTCCCCTTCCATGCAATGCCCATGTTGGCGAGGGTCTCCTGGGTTGGTTGAGGCTGGGGAGGGCAGTTGTAGTTCAAAGGTACTTTAATCAGGAAGAGATCTTGCACATACTCATGCTAGGTCATCCTGCCAGCAAAGTCCAAGCCTTGTCCTGCCTGTGACCTGAGTGCAGGGCCCACGTGATCGGAAATGGCTGTAGCATCCACATAATGTACTTACAAGTAGATGCTAGACTCGTTGCCTCCCATGTCTGGAGACTGCAACTTCTGCACCAGGATGATGATGATGCCGATGAAAAGCACAAAGTTAACCTGAGGAGCGAAGGAAAGGCAGCTTCAAATGACTACATCCGGTCCCTGGTGTTCCCCCAGCTAGGCAGGATCCCTTCTAGACTTCTAATCCAAGCCTCCCACAGATTCACTCAAACAAGGATGAGATGCGAGAAAAAGAACTGTGTAGAAAAACCTGGAAAGAGCAAAGAGTGTGTCAAATGAGCAGGACGCAATCTGTCTGGAGGAAAGAGAAAGGAGGACTAGGACGATGGGTACCAAAACTTGGAACACAGCAGAGGGAGAAGAGATGCACAGCAGAGACCTGCTCTCTGGACATACTCCAGAATCAGCGGAGGGCTGGTGATGCGACCTGGAATCCCAGCCAGTGCTCAGGAGGCTGAAGCAGGAGGATGGTGAGTTTCAGAGCAGCCTGGACTGCACAGGAAGTCAGAGAGAGAAGGGGGCGGGGGAGAGAGGACTTGAGTCATGGAATATAGAGAAGTAGCATGGACAGCCACGCATCGCTGACTACAGGACTGCCTGAGAACAGCCTTTGCTGTCAGATAAAGATGAGGGACAAATGCTTTCCAAACAGTGTGGGAAGCTGTGTGCAGAGTGAGAAAGGAGGAGGAGGGGCTGTAAATATATGGAAAAGCGGCACAAGACTGCACAGCGACATCTGGGGGACAGAGCCAAGGAAGGAAAAACTGCCTGACACAAATCTATTTAAAAACAGTAACAGGAAAAACAACAAAGAATTCAAAAGCTGGGAAAAAAAGTTACCTCAGAGTTAATGTGTATAAGAAGGAAATTAATACAGGTAAAAAGTTACAAGAAAGAAACTGGAAAAACTAGGCTTTTACAGATGGATTAGAATGATAAAGCATACATCCAACTCTATCAGCCTGGTTTTCTGTTTCCATTGGTATCTAATTTGTACCTGGAACTCACCAAATATTGCTAACCACATGTGTTCGTCAACCCAAAAAGGAGAAAATAGAGTTGAACACCTAGGGGTGAGAAGCAAGGCTAGGGATGTGCAAAGTACTTGAAATCATGAGAGAACATCAACCAAAAAGAAGAAACTGAGAAAGAACAAAAGCAATTTACGACAGGGTAGAAAGTTTGAGTAGCATAATAACTGCAGAACTTTAAAAAGTAGTCAGAAGTATATCCATTAAGGGGCTGGAGAGATGGCTCAGTGGTTAAGAGCAGTGGCTGCTCTTGCAGAGGACCTGGGTTTGATTCCCAGCACCCAGGTGGCAGCTAACAACATCTGTAACTCCAGTTCCAGGGGGTCCGACACACTCTTCAGACCTCCATGGGCACTGCACAACAAGGGTGTAAAGTACATACGTGCAGGCAATACACTCATACACATAAAATTAAAATAAATATTTTAAAGTATATCCATTAAAAGGCATCAGACCCAGATAATTTTATGAACTTATGAACTTCTAAGGACAATGCAATTTCTCTGCAATGTAATTGTTTCAAAGCAAATGAAAAGAAAATCTCCAAGATGGCCCACGAGGCTAACAAAATCCCACTACAACCACAGTAATAATAATAATAATAATAATAATAATAATAATAATAATAACAAAACAATAGCAATAAACAAAGAGGACTTGGAAAGAGTTTAGTCAACAAAGGGCTTGCCTCTCGCAAGCATGAGGACCTAAGTTTGATCCCCAGTACTCAGGCTAAAAAAGAAGAAAGATAAACTGCTGTGGTGGCATGCACTTCATGTCCCAGGGTGAGGAGGCAGTGACAAGCATATCCTGGGCCAGCTGAGGCTTGCTAGCCAATCCTAATCTGTAAGTTCAGCCCGGTGAGAAACCCCTCAAAAAACCAAGAGTATTCTGAAGAATGACACTGGAGATTGATATCTGACCTCCACACTCATCACATACATGTATACGCACATACACGCACAGAACACCAAAGGGAAAAAAAGAAACACAAGCTGAGCATTATGACGCATACCTACAATCCCAGCACTCAAGAGATGGAAGAAAAAGTCACGATTCTGAAGCTAGCCTGGCTACGTAGTAAGACCCTGTCTCAAAAGTCAAAAGAAAACAAAATAAAAACCAGACAGGAACAGAAAATGCAGTCACACCAGATGTACAAAAGCAATACAAAAACATTAAGCAAAACATTAACCAACAGAATTTGGCAGTATATTAAAAGAACAAACAAATCATGATGACAAACATTTCATCCTAGGAATGTAAAAAAATTTACTATGATTTGTTATAACAGATGAAAACAGTAAGCTTCCAGCATCCTCTGGAAGACTGGCAAATGCACTGGAAATAGAAACAGCAACCCAGGCCTGGGAAGTGTCAGAAGGACCCTCTTGTATCTTCTCCACAGAAGACAATGTGCTAGTCACGTAAATAGTAAGCATGCTCTTTGTCTAAGAAATCCCAATCCTAGAGAGGTATTCCAATGATATAATCCTATCATACATGCCCAAAGCCGGACACAAGTATGCTCCTAGCACTAGAGAAAAGTTGAAAAGCATCAGTGTTCATCATAAGAGCATGACCACTTCACCATATCTGATAAGATGCACTGCCCATGCTCAGTGTTTCCAGGACACACACTAAAGTCAGTCAGGAAGAGAAACTTGCCCAATTCCAAGTAGGGCAACTGCCAAAACCCAGAGCAACGTCATCCCCCATAAAAGCAAGGAATAAGGGACAAATGTTGGAAAAGATGGGCAAAGGCTGTTTTCATTTACAGATTACATAATTTTCTGTGTAGAAGCCCCTGTGAAACAAATAAAAAGAGATTAAGCTAATAAGAGAATTCAAAAACATAACTAAGAAAAGAGTCACAAAATCCCATAGCTTTCCTCTGTGGCCTCAATAACCCACCAGAAAATAAAATGAGGGCAAAATCCCTAGTTTCCACCATGGCCCAGGCTGGAGAATGTCTCAGACTAAACTCTGCCAAAATGTTTGTGAGGGCTGGATAGCAAAGAATCACACCACACTGTTTGAGAAAACTAGATTCTTTAAAAAAACCAGTCCTCCTCCAAATTAGTATATGATTCAATACTCAGATCTCAACCAGACTTTTCTTTTCGCAGCTTGACAGGGATATTCTAAAGTTTGACTCTCATGAGAACAAATAAGAAATCTTCATATAAGATGCCAAAATACTAACTAGCACAGTCAGAAGTCTGAGACTAGACTCACTAGTCACATACAGGTGAAAATGCAGACTCAAAAATGGATGACTACATTGAGTATTTCTGATAATGACTTTTCAACATAAGGGACAAAAGAGAATGTGCATTCTGTTAAAAACAAATAAAAGTAGAAAAATAAATTACATTTTAAAAAAGACAGAAAATAAATATAGCCTTCCTTAATGATAGTCTAAACCGTAACAGTGTTGTGAAATAATTAAGACAATTTTTATGTCTTCAGCTGGAAAAATAAGGCTGAGACTCATAAAGCCGGCGCCTAATGATTCCAGTGCGTGGAGGTTATGCTGACGTGAGGATGTAACGTAAGTAGCAAAGATAATCTGCTAGAAACTGAGTGAAAGAAATCAGCAAGAATGTCCAGAATTAAACAAACTACCAAAACCTGCTCAGAAGTCAGTGCACAGTGCAGCCAGCACCACAGAGAAACAGACGCTAAGCCCTCTGTGGACCTGTGCAAATGCTAAACGACTGACACAGCAACTACAGACCCTGGCTTGGGTGAGTAGCCACCTTTCTGAAGAAGGTGTAAATGTTAAAGAGTTTTTGCAAAACCAATGAGAGATCTGAAATGATGAATGTATACCTTTTTTGACTAGCAATTCCACCACTAGAGATTTACCTTAAAGAAACACTTTAAAATGCTCAAAATTAAGCATAACACGATTCCTAATAGCACCTCTATACTGTTTAGGATTAGAATAACAAGCTTATCCAATGCTAGCAGAATAGCTCGATAATTTGAGCATCAGTGTTTACAGAATACAGCCATGGCAGAGACCTTTTCATTTCCCCTCCTTCTGTGCTCTCTGCCCCTGCCCCATCTCTTCCTTTCCTCTTTGTTCCAAGCACACTCACCATTATAGAGCCAACCACAGGGCCTTTGATCACCCACCACAGAGCTGTGCTATCATTCATATCCCAGCAGCTGAAAGACAGGCAGAGAGGAGAAATCACATGTAGACACCTGCAAGGTACTGCCTGACTAGCTGAGGCCCTGCCCCCGCACACACACCTCCTAACCAGGGCTACCTGGAAGTGGAGTTCTCTGATGGGCTGGCTATAAGAATTACTTCACCTGAGGTTTGCCCTCTGCCTCTGTTCCCCTCCACAACAGACATCAGAGCCCCAAGAGTCAGGGGTACGTGAGAACCTGGGAAAGGACTTGTGTCCCCTTCAGACCAGGGGTCCTTAGGGTGATCTTGGGGTTAAGAGTGACTTTACCCTCAACATTCTTCTTCTCCTCCTCCAAAAGACACCAGGCTGCCAGAGCCTCCCATGAGCAGAAAGGGCTTGGAGATATACCCTTCCTCTTGCTAGTTTGTAGACAGGTGCAGCTGGCCCCATGGAGTGAGGGCTGAGGTACTACCAGAGGCTTGGCTTTGGTCTGGGGCTGAGACAGGGCTGACCACATGGGATGAGAGCTCTGATAATACCCAGGACAGAGCTTTGGTCTGGACAGCATTGGACAATTTGTTGAGCAGTTCGTGCAAAGTCAGGCAGGCACTGAAGACCCATGTGTAAGAATGTACTCTATATTGCATGTTGCCTGACTTCCTGGCTATACTTACCCTGTGTCATCAAAATAGAGCCTCAGCATCGCCCATACAGTCACACACACAGTAGGGGTCCCTGGGGAGCAAGAAAAGGAAGCAGTTATAATAAGCCCAACTTGCCCAAAATGCCTCCAGACTTGGAGTTCCTGAAGCCCAAACTGTCCTCACACCCAGCTTCTGGATCATCTGATCCCAAGAGGATTCCTGGATGTAACCTCTCCCTCAGACAATGGGGTCCCACAGGCAGAAAGTACAAGCAAGGTTCCAAGAATTAGCAAAGATGCCCATCGCCTGGGGAGGATTCCATTATGTGAGGTTCCCTAAAGCCAGGACCAAGTATACAACTGATAACACGGCCCAAGGCCACCCAGCCAGTGACCTACCCCAGCCAATGATGGTGTACCAATAGAAATATCTCCTCTCAGGGAAGAAGGTCTCCACCAGCAGTGTGAAGAGGTACAGGCCTTCAATGAACAGCCAGAAGTAGTTGGACACGACACAGTAGTGGAAGAAAACCATGACAACTTTGCATTCCACCTAGAGAGACAGCCAGCAGACAAGGAGGGATGAGCTCCCTGACCTGCCCCCACACAAACCCTGAAATCCAGCTGCACAGGACCAAGGCAAATCCTGAGGCCTTTCAGAGCTGGTGTGCTCCATCAGGCATCCCAAAGACCTAAGAGGGTGACATTCCTGAACAGAGGAGGCAGAAGATAGCATCCTAGAAGTCAGAGGAAGCTACTCAGCAAGGCAAGATGGCATGTGCAAGGAAAGGCCAGGTTGAGAGGTCAGAGGTCCTGTTCCTCTTCCCCACCTAGCCCAGCACCATAGGCCAGGTGAGTGTGGAAAGATACAACAAGAGGTCCCTTGAGGAGACCACTTGTCAAATGGGGATCTGAATATATCACAGGTGGAGGGGACACGCACCCTGACCCCAAGAATCTCCTTCTTATGGACCTTGTAGGCTTGTCTTTCCAATCAAGACCCCAATTCTAGAGAGTTCTTCCTCTCCAATCCTATCAAAGGTCAGCTCTCCACACATACCTCCTCCAACCATCTGAGCTTTGCATCTGGGAAGCATCTACGAAGACCCTGGCCACTCAGCATGTAGAATCCTACATGGCAGGTTAAATGACCAGGGGCTGGGCAAGTGCTCTCTAAGCCTTAGTTTCCTCCTCAGTCAAGTGAGACCTGATTGGTCCAAGGCCCAGCCTGAGGGCCTAACTGTTTTGGCTAGGAGCAAGGACAGACACTGGCTAGTAACCGCAGGGCAACTCCTGGACTTCCATGTGACCTGGGCCAAGGCCTCCACCTGCAGGTACACATGGCCTATGGGGTTTCAGCAGGGCAAAGGGTCCCAAGGTAGCTGGGGCTGGAAGCCTGCTGGGCTCACTCACAGTGGAGATGAAGCAATGATTGCTGTCCTGCTCAGCATATAGGATCCAGTCTTTGATAAAGACAGAGATGGCTCTCAGCATGAAGGACACGAATAGGTTCATGTGGATGAAGTTGCGGGTACAGTGCAGCTTCCTGCAGGGGGTGGGGAGGACATGAATTTCACACCCTCTACCCTGGGGGTTCCTCTGTGCCTACTCATAGCTTGGTCTTAATGGGGTCCCTCTCCCAGACCACCCTCTTTCCCATCTTGCTAATTCTCTGCCTTTCAGGGCCCTAGAAATCTGTTGGCCAGACTGCTCCCTCCTGCAGCCTCTCTATCTAGACCAGAAAGGTACAAGCAAGTAACAGAGGTCCCTGGCTGGGATTATGCCTGGATGTGTGCCCTGGACATGTGTGTTGTTCTCGCTGAGGCCAGCTTCCCATCTGCCGTGCTAGGGGTGGAGGCTGCCTTCCCATGGACCTTCTAGGGCTGATGGGAGGTGGGTGCTCTGAGCAGGGCTGGGCAGTGCTACCCGGAATACTACTGGGCTCTCACCGGAAGCGGCACAGGATGACCATGGCAGTGGTGAGGGTGACCAGGGAGGTGCTGTAGCCGACCGTGTAGAGAGCCTTCACCGACAGGTAGTAGTAATCCTGGAGCAAGGCAGAGGACATGTGGGGCCCCACAGGGGATCTGCCATCGCCCCCCTCCGGGACCTGCACCTGCACCCTTCTCTCTGCACAGGGTCAACACCCTGAACCTTCTCAGTGTTTTGAAGGCAAGAGCACTGACCAATCAGAGCAGAGTAGCCCTGGCCTAAAGAAGAGTCTAGAAAGCCCCCTGCTAGGCCCAACATTAAGCCCTCCATTGCTGGGCCATAGGAAAGACAGTCTTAAAGAAGTAGCTGGGGTTTGGGGAGCTCGTGGAGGGCAGGAGCTCCAGCAGGGCATGAATATCCTGCCCTCCATCTTCTGGCTCAGTATACAGCAGGTGCTCATGAGTGCTGCCCAGAGTCCTGGGCTCCTCTGCCCTATCCCACCACCTCACTCACCTGGTCGCCAGACTCAGGCTCATAGTCATCAAACCCACAAGCATCAAAGTAATGGGGGAATGGCTCCGACCAGCCATCCTCTGTGCAGTTCCGGCCCACTACCCCAGTGTCTGCAGAGAAAAGAACAATAAGCAAGGCATTGAAATGGCTTAAAAGGACCTGGAAAACAATTTCCTAGTGGGAATTCCTGGAGCTCATGAGCCCAACTGGGAGGCTGGGGCCAGGAGGATCAGGACTGAACAGTTGCTGAAGATCTGGCATCACTAAGGACCAGAGGGAACCAGAATCCAGGACCTTTGTATTCCTCTTGAAATATTCCCAAACACTCACCAGGAAAGGGTCTGGAGCCCCTCCCCTCGGCCCTGAGTCAGCACTTCTCAAATGTGGATGTGCCGAACCATCCAGAAACACCTTACAACCCCAACTTCCAATCCCAGGAGTCTCAACAAGATATCAAGTACATTAAAGACCTCCTCAGGTGACTGGGGTGAGCCCTTGGCACACCTTGAGCTCAGAGCTACAGGTGGTATCTTTTCCTAGAGCTATAGACTTGCCAGCAGCTGTAACATTCCATACCAAGGGGATATCGGCCTTGCTGGCTGAATTAGCAAGTCAAGGCCTCCCCTCATCTACTACCAACCTTATTAAGATACGTGTTTGGTGGGAGAATTGTTTTTCTGTTTGTTTTGATTTGATTTATTTATTTTTATGTGAATTTATTTCACATAAATAAATATGTAAGTATGTAAGTACAGCAAGTGTGTGTAATGCCCATGGAAGCCAGAGGAGGGCATCAGATCCCCTGGAACTGAAGTTACCATTGTTAGCTGCCATATGGGTTCTGGGAACTGAACCCAGGTCCTCTGCAAGAGCAGCCAGTGCTCTTAAATGCTGAGCCATCTCTACGGTACAGGTTTTCTTTTTGTTCTTCAAAGTTTTACAATTGTTTCTTGTCACCATTATACATTCATTTTCTTTGGACTGACTTAAAGCTATTATGTGGGACATCTGAGAGGCAGGGAAGTGACAGCCACTGAGAGAGACATTTGCTGGCTACAAAGCAGAGCACAGAATGTTTTTCACATTAGGGGACTGCTTCAGCCTCTAATGACACCATGTTACTCTCCTGATGGCCAGTGAGGGCCACTGAGGTTCAGGGGAGCAGAGGGCAAGTACCCCTTTTCCCCCAGGTATCGTCTCAGTGTGGTCCCAGACACATGTCCCCTGACTAACAGCCTAGAAGGTATTTATTCCTTAGGACACATGGGAAAAGACCAGGATTCAGGATAGTTTTGAATGCCCACAGGAAATATGAGGTTTTTCAAAACTCAGTTGTGCACCCCAGTTACCTTGTGGGCTTGGTAAAGTTCAGATTCCAAGTCCTCACCTTGGAATCTCTGATGTAGTCAGTCTATAGGTTTCAGGGACCAATGACTTGTACACAGTAAGAGACTACTGAAGATATACAGCCCAGAGCACACAGTGCTGGGCAGAATCCTGCCCTCTGTAGCCAACTTAGCCTGTGGGGAGCACAACAAGGAGGGAAGATGGCAGTGGGTCAAGGGAGTGCAGGGCAGAAGGTGAGGGCCAGAGAAAAAGACCACACACCTTTCTCACTAGCATCCTCACTAGTGGACTTGGGAGGTGTAAGGCCAGTTGCCTTCTGTGAAAAGAGTTGAAGCGTCCTTTCTGGACCAGAAGGACAGTCCTGCCCAGCATGGGGCGGCTCTCTACCACTTCGCTGATTCCGTGACACAGGCCAGGACAGAAGTCCAGGAGGCCCAGACTTCTGACAAATCTTCTCAGCCTGCTGCTGACACTCTAAATGCACCTCCTCATCTCCTGGCAGCTGGGGCCCTGTCCAAGCCACTCCTCTCTCTGGGCCTTGGTTAACTCTCTGCCCACTTCATGGTGGTGGGAAGAAGGCAGAGACAAAAGAGACATTGCTTTGAAAAACATTTTTTTTTAAAAAGTCTCCTAGAGGAAAAAGCCGTTTCCTCTCTTTTATTTTCTCTCTTTATTAACATAGTGTAGGCTCAGAAAAACATAAACCTTTTTGTTCCCACGACTGTTCTATGAATATTGTTCTGATAGAAATCTCTGGAAGACAGAGTGCTCTCCAGATTGCCAAAGCCCAGGCCTCAACAGCACCTATTTCACTAGGCTGCTTTGCCTAAGCAACTTCGCAGGAACACAGCATTAGAGCCACAGTTCCTCAAGGAGATGAGGCCCACAACGTCATCTGGAGACTGACTAGCCATGTATCTGGCCCCCACTCCAGCTGGGGGCCCCCCTACATCAGACTCTGAGGTGATTACAGGAAAGTGAACTTTCCCAAACCCACAAGGTGATGGGTTCACAACTGAGGTGCGAGAACCTCTGTTCTACCTATGGTTATTTCAAAACTACCAAAGATCAAGTAATCCAGCGACTTCTCATTTGAGTCCATAAAAGGGCTTCAAGACAACCACAGCTCCCTGACAGGGTACACATACCATCTTCTGCTAGAGACTTGAGTGCAATCTCCCATGGAGACACCACACAGTGTTATCAGAGAAGGTACACACCATCTAGACCACACAGCCACAGGTACAGCCCAACAGCAATGTGGGTCTTAAAGCTCTCACAGGAGCCGATGCTCTCCACCCCACCAACCCAAAGGTGGCCCCACTCTCACCTGAGAGTTCCAAGGAACTTTCATCAGCAAAATCAGAATCCCCTGCAAAATACAAACATGGGTCAGAATGCTGAGTTTACCAACCTGCCCCATGACCCACTGCTTACCCTCCAAGGCCAAGGATCCCCCTAGGCTGGGGGTGGGATCAAGAGGCTGCATCTCATTCAGCAGTCACACATCTCTCTGACATACTGCCCCTGAAAGCAGCAGTCTCACCAGGGTGGCGGGTGGCAGGGGCATGGCTGAGGTGATCCATGACTCAGCCCCCACCCCTGCTTGGGGACACTGGAAAGGATGCTATCAGGAGGATGAGAGAGCCTTTAGGGAGGGAGGAAGGGGAGCAAATAAGCCCAGAACTTGGGGTTTCTTCTTTGAGGTTCAACACCCTATCTTAGCTCTAAGGCTATTCTTCATCAAAGGAACCCCAGGACCCCAAAAGCTTCATCCTTTATTCTCGTATTTCTTACACCAAAAGATAACTTAGAAAATGAACACCCATTTCCTCTGACTTGCTCAAAATTCAATTTCTAAGCTAAGACACCACCTCATCCAGGAAGTCTGCCCTGGCCTCCTCCCTATTCAGCCTGCAAGCTGTGTTTTCTTCTGCTCTCTTGCTGGGAATGTCCATTCCGGCCTCCTAACTACTGGGATGACAGGTATGTGCAAGAACTCGTGCACCAGGTCAGGCCCACGTGTAGGAACATGCATGCACTATACACACACACCCCTCCACTGATGACTTCCTCCTGACCCAGGTTGAAAGGGCCTTGAGGCTGAAGCCTGTGTCCTCCATCTTCCTTGTCTATCCTCCCAGATGACCAAGTCGTGGGGAGGAAGGAAGAAGTTTTTCCTGATGGCCTTGCAGTGTCGCCCACACCCGACCCACATCCCAGGACCCGGGGTCTCCTGAGGTGGGGTTCCTGCTGGGCAGATGGACTGTCCTCACCAAGGGTCCTCTTACCGATCGTTTCTGCCATCCAAACTGAGGGGTGAGAGCAAGCGAGGGAAGGAGAGAGAAAACAGAGAAGTGAGTAGGGCCAAAATCAGGATCTGTTCTCACAGACGATTTCCTCCCCATCCCCTAGCTCCTAAGAAACTCTCCTGGGGTCCCATGCAGGCCCTGCCAGATATGGAGAGACTGTAGCTCACTCCCTTCTCAGGGAGGAAGGAGGTAAGTCTCACCACCAAGCCTGTGAACAGAGGTGCAAATGGCCCTGCCTTAATGAACCATTAAGAGCAGAGTATAAATAGCATTCTCTATGCCCTGAGGTAGCCACAGCTGAAGGAAATCATGTCACCCTCAATCCTGTCACCTCTGTGACAGGCAGTGTTGGAATGGCAGGGTCCTGCTGGAATCTGGCCTGGAGTGGCTGTTCCATAAGCTTCATATAACTGACTGAAGCAGGAACCCCACCTCAGAGCATGCATGGAGGAAGTGATTAAGCTGACTTCTACGAGAACTAGTCTGGAGTCAGATGAATCATAGGCCAATGTGCTTGCCATGGTCTCTCCATTCACTCTGACCATCAGCACCTCCTCCAAAATTTATTCCCCAGGCTGCTCTGGGTCACACACAGTCCCCAAGCCCTTGGGATGACAGAGTCCAGATTTAGTTCCTTCTGGGTTGGCAGGTGGTGGGCAAGATGTGAGATGAAGAGAGGTAGGGTACATAGATGAACACTGCCTTCTCTGGGCTCTGGATGGGAAGTCAAGGAGGTCTGGGACACTAATGCATGCTGTTCCCCACCTCCTGCAAACCCCTTTCCCTCCAGGGTAGAGGCCAGTTCTTAGAGTTTGAGCTGTGAAAGTGAATTTTGCATTGTCTTGCAGACAGGACAAAATACCCCCGCCCCATGCCGTGAAGATGGGGCTACTAGGAAATCCTGTCTTTGTATCTAGTATCACAGGTCAGCCACTGTATCTACCCCACAGGATTCCAGTTTGGCCCTTGGATCCCTGCACAGAACTTCAAAGGCATCAGAGGCCCTGAGCAGACATGATGTGTGAGCTCCTCAAGCCCCTCCAGCAGCCTGGTTTCCAGGCAGGGGCCATCACACACCTGTCCCTGAAGCCAGTGTCCACAAGTCATGGACTAGTTTTCTTGGTGTCCTGGGCAGACTAGAGGATAGACTCCAGGGCCTCCTCCTCCTCTAAGCCCTCACTGCCCTATAAGGCCAGCAAAAACCAGGGAAATGCTTCACTTAGCAAGTGGGGAGGGGGCTGGCAGGAGCCCAGTCCACATTAAGTGGTTGGGGAGTGTAGCACAAGGTTCTATCAGCTGTCTTTATACTTCCATTCTACTTGAGGGGCCTTATTGCACAGCCCATCCATGTGTTCCTCTGACCTCTGAGGCATCCATGGCTATGACCATGATGATGTCACCATGTAACTGTGATGATGTTAACCAGCTTCACTATCAAACATGCATAATGCACCAGTCCGGCAGTACCTGCCATCCCTACAAGGACCTCACTTTATCCTCACAGACCTCCTGGGAGGTAGTCATTGTGCAACATTCCCATCTGGCAGACCAAGAACTTGAGGGGTGACCTGCCTGGTTGAAGGTCCCAAGGGAAGTGAGTGATCGAGCTGGCATGGACTCCAGACGCAAGCCCAGCTTGATCTCATCTGCCATGATGTTCACTGGACAATGCATACATGTCACTAGGAGCTGTGCTAGAGAAATGCTTCCATGCCTTACACCTATATGAGGCCAGCTTCCCATCCTGTCTACTATCTACCATCTGCCCACTGAGTAATGGAGTACTTAGAGCCAAGCTCCAGGCAGGGCTGGGGCTAAGGTGACACAGCAGGAAGAGACTCTGGGCCACATCTACCTTGGTCTGGATTAAAGATCCGGAAGACCTCAGGACAGCTCACCAACACCATCTCCCCTACTTGGGCAGGCTTCCAACACGTGATGTTGTCCCACATGCCAGGGCAACCTAGGGGAGAACCATGGTGAGTGTTCCTAGCTATACACACAGCACGCGTACACACACACACACACACACACACACACACACACACACACACACACACACACACACACACACATGTGCATGCCACACTCAGACACAAACACTCGGAACATACCCCACATATGCAGGTGTTCAGAGGAACACCACATACAACCCACAACACACATACTACAGATATACACACATGTAGACATCACTGTTAAGGTGAATTCTCACTGCCAACTTGATTTAGAACCCCCTAGGAGATGGTGAGGCACACCTCCAGGTGAGTCTTTGAGGCATCCCCAAAGAGGATTAACACCTGAATGTGGCTGGCGCATCCCACCGCTGAGGTCCTAGGCAGAATAAAAGGGCAAGAGAAGGCTGGCAGAGTGCTGGCATTCCTGTTTCTTCATTTCTTCCACCACCATGATGTGAACTAATCTGCTCCACCCTTAAGTTGTTTCTGTAAGGTACTATGATGAATGCTAATAAAGGCTCACCCCACACACGGGCACCACACACCCCTCCTGTGGACTACTCAGAAGCCAGGCCTTGTGGAGGCCAACAAGTTTACAAGAGAGAAGGTACTGCTTTCTATCTGAGGAAGGTTTGGTCCTACACATGAAAAGTACTCCAAGTGGAGAACAGACAGCCTCCCTGAGGCTCTGGGGCTGGAGTCTCTGTGGAAGGCTGTCCCTCCCCACCCCAGCTCTCTGGTAGCCTCCTGGGAACCTGCATTTTCCTGGCCTCATATTCACTTTCTCAGTGGGGCTCTCCCCTCCATGGAAAGTGAGACCAGATCAGCTAGTCTGAAGCTGAACTCCACACCCCACCACTCTTCCAGCACAGGCCTAGATCAGGAAACTACCACTGACAAGGATAGCACTTGAAGTGGGGGTCACAGTTTCACTAGCTGAGAGATGGGAAAGCCATCCAGGAAGAAGCTTGGGTGGGACCTGTGAAAGGACCCAGAACAGAAAGAGGTGATGGGGGCAGAGACTCTTAGGAAGCCAAGGTGGGCACTGTGTCTTGGGAATCAACTGCTGCAAGGGAGGGAAGAGAAAGGTGCATGAAGGGGTACTTAGGGTTCACCAAGTCTCCCTGACCAGCTGGTGGTGAGTTGTAAGGAAGAAGAGGATGTAGGGCTTGACTTGTGTTCTGATTTGGAAGATCCAGTGACCCCGGGACCTCTCTACCTGTTGTGTACTCTCCCCTGCTTCCTGCCGCAGTCTATCTCTGTCAGTCCTCTACTCTGCCCTAATCTCACCAAGGTCAACAACAAGCTCTTTTACTGGCAAATCCAAGGAAAACTCACTGAAAACAGGTCCCAGAGGCCATCCTGCCTTGGGCAACCCGCCCACTGTCCCTGGATGAGCTCACCCTGGTCAGAGACCTAACAGAATTACATGTGGACAGTTCCAGTTTTGCCATTCTCCAAGCTGAGCCTAAAGCCAATTATCAACTGTATGTTCCCATCTTGAGGCACCAAAGACAACTCAAAGGAAGCAGTCCTGGACTCCACCCAGCACCTCCTACTAAACCCCCATCTGCTTCAGCCCAGCTAGATACCTGAGACTTGCTCCATCTCTGTCATATGCAACATCAAGTCTTGTGGATTCCCTCCAAAGCAGAATTCTCCCCTGGGACCACAGCCGCCTCCTAGGTCTCCCTCAGCCTCACAAAGCTAAGACCAAAAGCTTTCAAAAATGCATGTCTGGCTTGGTAACTCCCCACCACTAACAACTAAAAGCTATTCGTGCTCTTCATGCCCCCAATTCCTTAACACAGTACCTATGGTCTCTGCCCTCCACCTGGCTCACCAGGCTCCATTCCCCTTGGGCATATGGTGGTGAGTCAGGCCATCCAATGAAAGGATGTGGAGGGGAAGAGCAAAAAGGAGGAAGTTCTGAGACCCCATACATTATGTGTGAACAGAAGAGGGTGTAATGATGCGGTGGACAGTGCATAACAGAGGGGCCACAGTGCAATAAATCCACAGCACAGTTTCGGGGATTCTATCTGTGGATGGGGTGCTGATGGGCCATGGAGAGGGCTTCTGTGTCCCATAAAGGAAGTAAGTGACCACCCATATTCCACTCCCAGGACAGCTGGGAGGACTACAGAATTCATACATGAAAAGTTCTGGGAGCTAGGCTCACACCACACGTGTTCATTGCCATTGGCCTTAATTTTCTTATTTCAATTAGATGTCCCCAAGAATCACTCCCAAGGAGGGGGATGATCCTGCTGGGGAGACAGAAGCACAGTGGCTGGTGGCTGACAGGCCCAGAGGAAGCCTGGGGCAGGCCTCATGAGATCATGGTCCCTCTGTCAAGGTCCTGACTACTGGATGCTGTGTGTGCTAGAAGACATACCCAGATTCTTAGCGCAGAAGACCCACCTCTCAGAACTTACACCTTGTTCCTTTGGCATGCATGCCTAGTGACACTGGCTTGTGGCATTCTGCTCATGGAATTACAGCATCTGGGAACTTGGAAAACTGTAAAACTCTAAGTGCAGTATAACAAGTGGGCAGGAACAGAGGGCGAGATCTGAGGGTTGGGGGCACCTTATGTCTCAGCAGTGAGCCAACATCAATGACTCCCGTCTACCCAGGAAGTCTTGCCAGCACACAATTGGCTGTGACATCATGTCCTTGAAAGAGACCCAACAGTTCATCTTGGGCTGCCACGGTCTGTGCTGATGGTGGAGTGCCTATGGAGAAATGACCATGTCTGGCCCATGCCCCAGAAGCCCTCGTCAGCAGATGTTCCCTTAATGCCGAACATTAGGCTCTGACACAGCCAGCTGCTACTATCAGCTGACGATGCTGGGGTCACAGAGCCACACAAGGGGCAGAGATGTGAGGGATGAAGGCATGGAGGAATAGGGTCCAGGCTCCAGGGCTGGGGGTCAGAGGTGGAGGCAGGATAAGTGATACATGCTCTTAAAAGTAGTTTTCTGAGTACTTATCTTGTGCCAGGTATACAGAAGGGCCACGGAGTGGAGCAGAGACAGAGCCATGAAGCTCAGGAGAGGCAGAGGTGGGGGAAGGGCAAGGTGTCCCCTCAGCATCTGCCTAGAAGCCCACACACTTGTGTTCTGGTCTCCTTTGCTGTGATTCATAAGCTAGTGTCAGAACAGGAACTAGGAGTCTGTGCGTACCCCCAGCTTTGAGTGACCAGAGCTAGAATCTGGGACAGAGAGTTTGCAGGATTGCCGGTGCTCTGGGGCCACTGGAACTACCTTTCTAGGGCATCTGCCAAGTTCCTTTCCTGGGATCCCCAAGGATCTAGCTGCCACAAGCCTGGAAACCCTCCCAAGTGCTTCCTTCTGTCCCCAGCTGCATGCATCTTCTCTAGAGTCCTGCAGGCAATCCCTGCTAACAGAACAGCCAGGAGCTTGGGACAAGAGATGGGGGTCTCTAGAGGGCCTTGAGGTTTCCAAGCTGAGGGCAGAAACTTACTTCCCCATATCACCAGACATTCTGCACTCCAGGATCAACACAGCTCAGTTTTTGAAACAGAAACCTTCAGCATGTCTTTGCTCTACTCCTCCCCCTACTCATTTCACCCTTTTTTTCTCCTCCCTTTCTACTTTCCCTCCTCATTTGCTCATTGATTCACAGAGACTAAGTGAAGACATGAATGTGACCGTACAGAGTGATCTAGGAATGGGTGAAGCAAAAGCAGCCGGTCTGGGTGTCACAGACCTGACATCTGATGGTCAAGTCTCTGGTTTGAGACGCTCTGCTACATGCCTGGGGTGCTTTTCCTACAGCTTTTGGAATCTTATAAGCCAACCCAGTGTCTTCAAGTAGCAAAGACACTGTTGTACAGTTCACATTGGCCTATGGTTTGTGTCAGAAGCTGGAAATGGGTCTTACCTCGCTAAAATCAGGACATCAGCAGGACTGCAGTCCTTCTGCAGGTTTGAGGGGAGGATCCTTTCCTCAACAATCTCAGATTTAAGTGGTCATTAGTATTATTTGGCTCCTGGCCCCTTACTCCAGTTCCAAAGCCAGCTGCTTAAGTATCTCTGACTCCCTGTCTTCTCTCTTTCAATGTCTCTCTCACTTTTCAAGGATCACACTGGGCACTTCTGAGTAACCCAAGTTACTCTACAATCACCAAATCTTTAGCTATACATGCAAAGTCCCTCTACCAGGTAAGGTCACCTACTCAGAGGTTTAGAGGACTGGGATGTGAGTGTCTCAGTTTGGATCACAGCAAGAGACTTACTCTGCTTGTCAGCAAGGGCTTTTAATACAGAGGCCAGGCACTCTGATTTAGTGGTTCAGGGAGATGATACTGTGGCAAGGGTAGAACAGACAGCATGAGATAGGGATAGGGATGTGATCCAGAGACAATGAAAGGACCTGATTCCAAGTGATGGCAGCAGAGATGGAGAGAACTAGGTAGGAGTCTCGAGACAGGAATAACAGGATGTGGTGAAGGATAAGGCTGGCGAATGGGGCAGAGATGGCTAGTCATATCATGTGACCACTCTAAACCTCAGGAAGTAGGTGGAAAAGGTGAGCTAGTCTCCAAAGCTCCCTCAAGGCCTTCACTGCCTTCCTCTCTCATGTGGCACCCTTAAGGCCACATGTAATGCCACATATTGAGGATGTCAGTGTTCCAACATGGAAGAAACCCAGGTCTCTGAATGGTGATGCAAAGCTGAGCCCATCACTGATGACCACATTGGCCTATGGTTTATGTCAGCAAGAAATGTCACTATGCTAGTCTCTGGATTCTAAGGTTGGCTTGTCACTTCGGCATAGTCTAGGTTATACTGACCCACATAGAAAAGAAGAGAGAGAAAGTACCAAAAATGTCACCCTAGTTTCTGACTTGAGTATCTGCGTGGATGGATAAATGGATAGCCAGGTAGGAAGATCGGTGAGTAGATGGGTGGATGGACAAATGGATAGATGGATGCATTATTACTACAATTGCAAGGGAGGGCTGGGAAGTAAAAGG